ACAGGGCAATGGATTGCGGGCCACTGGACTGGACACCGGTCCGGGACCAAAGAAAAACCACGCCCACACGATGGCACGAGCCGTGCAGCCGCGCATGCCTTGATGCGTCGCGTGGTCCGTCCGTCCGGCCGCCGAGGCGAGGCGAGGAGAGGCTTGGCGGTGGCGGGCGTCGTCAAAAAGGTTCTCGGGAAAAGTCCGCGGGGGTGATTTGTCGCGCGCGCCCACGAAAATCGCATCACGTGGCATGCTTCGGCGTCCGTCTGATCGTGTAGCGGCAGGCCCACCCGGGGTCTTTTCTGCGCTTTCGTGCCATGATGTCATGTGTGGTCTCGCTAGCTTCTCTCTCTAGTCTTCGATCTCTTGAGCTACGCCACCATGCCATCCATGGTATGTAGGAGAACGCTACATGCATCGCATCTCAGGCATAGGCCCAAGTTCTGGCACTCATCAGAGTTACTTAGGAGAGTTCCTTAGGGTTGGTTTTGTTTGTGGTCTAAAATAGGCCTTATTAAATTTTATCAATGCAAAATTTTAGTAAGTTTTGGTATGACTAATTTTGGTAAAGCAAAGTTGTATTTGGATTGAAGCCAAAATAGCCTAAGTTCACTATTAAAATGGCATATTTTCTTAGGCATGCTAAAATTTGGCTTCAAACCAAATAGACACTAAACACTATTAAAATTAATAAATATTGGTAAGCCTAATTTAGATCTCAAAACAAACCAGCCCTTAGGGCTTGTTTAGTTCCCAAACAAAATTTTTCGTGCTGTCACATCGAATGTTTGGATACACGTATTGAGTATTAAATGTAGATAAAAAAACAATTACATAGTTCGTTAGGAAATTACGAGATGGATTTTTCAAGTCTAATTGTGCCATGATTTGACAATGTGGTGCTACAGTAAACATTTGCTAATAACGGATTAATTGGGCTTAATAAATTTATCTCGCAGTTTACTAACGGAATATGTAATTTGTTTTTTGTTATTGGACTACGTTTAATACTTCAAATCTGCGTCTGTATATCCGATATGATATAAGGCCATCCCCAACCCAGAAACTATTAAGTAGTTTCCATACTTACCATGTCATATAGACACTGTGTATAGAAACTATGTATACAATGGATGGAGTCTTCAAATTAAATTCTCATCCAATCACCTCTCTTCTCTCTCCTTTATCCACGTATGCTCTTGTTTTTATTTGGTACTTGTGTAGATATGGTTTCTTGTATGAGAAATGATTTCTTCATCTTTTTACCTCTCTTCTCATTGACTCTATTGCCACATATGATTTTTGCTTATGTGACAATGTATTTAATACTATGGAAACTAGATGACATAGAGGGTTGGGGATGGTCTAAGGGGGAAAATTTTTTGCCAACTAAGAAAGCCCTTACTTGGATGTGATACGACCACATCGTTGAATCATCGAACAACAACGTGGCAGCTCACCACGGCAGCGGCCAGCGGGTCGTGCCCTGTAGACCCCCGATTTTGGAAATCGGAAATCTTCTGTGTTTATCCGTACCAATCCCTGGATCAGTAGTTGGTACACACATATATAGTTGGATCACAACATATCAGAGTTAAAAGAGTTAAATACTTACATTAGGGCCAGGTAGGCCAACAACTATCAGAGAACAAAATAATATAAGGGCCCGGTTAACATGCCACAGGCAGTCGACTGGGAAACGAGACCTAAAACAAGACCGCACTCCGATCATCTTGTTGGATACGCAAGCGTACCGACAAGGGCTTCTCTTCAACACTCTCCTAAAAGATATATAAATAGCAAGGGTGAGTACCAACCGTACTCAGCAAGCCACCATAACAACAATGCATATGATAAAGGGTATTTCAAGGAATGGCTTCAGGTTCTTTTGCATAAAGCTAGTTTTGCAATTCTTTTCACAAGTCTAAGACATAGCATAGACTGATCAAGTTTTAATACCAGTGTTCACATTAAACAACGACGGTTCTGTCCACCATTCATTGTGATCCCAAGGATAGCTTCCCGCCATTGAGTCGTCATGGTTTTCTGAGGACGTCCACCTTCCCTCCTCCCAGTAAGTGGCTCCAACAGCATAAAAATCATCATGCAATATCCCATCCCACACAAGTTAAGAATTTTGAGTCTAGCCAAGTGTAATACACGTCCCGGTGCTCAATAACCGCGAGCACGGCTATTCGAATAGATTTGGTTTATTCACACTGCAGTGGATGTACACTTTACCCGCACTCCGCAACTGCCCAACACATGAGCCTCGTCCCAACACATGAGACGCGTCACGGCAAAGCTTTTTGATAACCTCGCATTGGCAGTACCCGCTCCATGAACTTTACATCCTCATGCACTCTAGGCGTACACGGTTTCTAGCAGTGAGAGGAGTTCTGGCGCACCCGGGAAGGGAAGACTCACACATGCATTAAGTTATAAATATGTTTAGATTCTCACATGGCAGTCCTACCGATGGTGACACCACTGTAGACACCCGCCTCGCAGTCCTACCAATGGCTGCCCCACCGTAGAGTCCCTGCCTCACACATCAAGAAACCACTATGCATGGATACTGCCTCCGCTCAGCTATCTACTCCGCTAGGTCTATACCCATACGAGAAGTGCGGTTGTACGGGGGTCGTTTCATGCTTAACTTCATGGCTCGGTCCTTAATTGACCAGGGATGGCACTAGCCTTTTCCGGACATCACCCAAATCCTCCGTCTGCCCCAGTCGAAAACAGTTGTTTAATTTTATTTCTCTTTTCACAAATCATGTTATCAACATCATGGCAATGTGACGCTCATGTCTCCACATGCCGTATCTCAATTACCTTCCCAAAGGTAATTTCCCAAGCATATAGCATTTGATAAATATGAGTATGCATGATTCTAGAATAGCATTTCTAAGCAATTGTTATAATTGACTAGGGACTCATACGTAAACATGGTTACGAAGGCATAAGGGGTAAATAATAATCAAGGCATGGCATAATCACAAGTAGGATGTTCATCATTGCATGCAATTTTATTTGTAAACAAAATAATTTCGCAATTGGGATCAACATGTTCAAGGAATAGTGATGACTTGCCTGCTCAGAATCATCCTTATTCTTGATACAATCTTGATCAACCTTCACCTCCTGGAAGCTGCATACGTTGCCTCACGACTAACTGATACACAAATTCTATAATACGCGAGAAAAACTAATATTCAACAACAAGCAAATATGCACAACCAAAATACAAACGTCAGGGTCGAACCTAGGGTTGCTCGTACTATTATTGCTTGCTAGGGGATTCCAATCATGCTAAGGGCTAAAATTCCTTAATCTTTCTATTTTCATCGTGGTCTATTTAGGAGTTAATCGATAGTGTATAAATGAGATATACATATGGCTAATCTGTGGTTTAGTCAAGCTAATGACTATGGAAGGATTATGGCTACACATGTATTTATCTAAATAAAGTGGTCATATACTAGAGGTTCTGTTGTCGGATAGATTTAGGATCAATCAAATAATTACAGTGAATCATTTGTATTATTATTTTACTGATGGAGGCATTACTTTAATTATGAACATATTTTACTTGTCACAATAAATTATGAAAGGATAATAATTATCCATGCTTTGAATGTTAGAGTTGTTTAGGTTAACCATATTATGGTTACAGATTATCCCTTAATGAACAATCCTAACTTACAGTTGAACTATAATTATAATTATAAGGTCAAGATTTATAACTAGTATTTATCCACCATACATGTTTGTCATATACTCCTTGGTTTAATATATGCTAAAGGTAGGTTATTGTTCTTATGTGTGATTTTAAATGGATTGTACAGTATATGTGATTTAAGTGGGTTGACAAGTGATTTTACTGTTTGAGTAATTATTGGATGCTAACCGACTCAACCTTATTTGGGTGGTTCTATCATAACAACTCTGTTCCTATTCCTCATAAATAAATTAAAGACTCATCTATGTGTATTCATGTTTGATTGACCTAATTATAAGGCTAGCTTTATTATTTAAATAATCTATAAGTCATGGGTTTAATTATACAACAATTTAATAGTACTAGTATCTCCCTATACATTAATTTGAGACATCATTTAAAATTAGTTTGTGTGGTTATTACAATGACAAAGCATGTTAGAGAGAAATATTCTTACATCTAGTACTAATTTTATTTGTTAGCACATTTTTAAGTTGACTATTATGCATTATCTTAGTATTAATTATATACCATTGGAAAGCTTATGAATTTAGATAAATTTAGGTTCAAGTTTCACTCAAATCCGAGTTAAAATGAGAGAGTTACGCTAGTTTAAATATTCAAATTTGAATTAATCCGAGAAATTGCAAAAAGGTACTGTTCATAAATGATTTATTTTTAATCCGAAGTCTGTTCTTAACACTAACAGTTGCTGACACGTGGGGTCAAACCTTTACTTTATTTTCCACCGAATTAATTTTCTAAAGGGAAATAGGATGTGCTAATGACAAGTGGGGCCCACAACCTATTCTCTTCTCTTTTCTCGTTCTCTCTATCGTCTTCTACCTCCAGACCGAGCGGGAGCAGCAGGGGAGACGCGGCGCGCGCGGCAAGGCCGGCCGAGGGCGACCCGACGGTGACCAGGGGAGGGAGTGGCAAGGCTCTGGCGTCCACCTGCCGGCGGTCACGGCGTAGGACGGCGCAGGGGCGAGCGGCGCCGCATGGCCGCCATGGCCGCCATGGCCGGGCACGGGTAGCTAGGTGCTAGGGCGATACGGAGGGTTTACGACCAAATTGGTGAGGGCGTGAGCATCTACGGAGTGTGGGGGTTCCATTTTACTCACTAGATGGAGAGGAGGAGCTCCGGGATGGCTTGTCCACGGCGAGCTCACCGGCGGCAGAACGGTGGCCGGACCGGCACGGCGACGGTTTCTAATTGGCGAAATTAAAGGGGACTATAGTTTCTACGGAACTAGGGGAGGCCAGAGGAGCGAGGACTTACCGAGGGATGGAGGAACGACGAAGTTCGATGTCGCGGGGGTGGAGTAGAGAAGAAGATCCCGTACGCACGCTAGGTGTTCGACGAAATGTGTGTGAGAAAGAGAAAGAGGCAGAGATGGGGCTAGGCCTTGTGATGGCAGCCAAGGTGTGTGGGGAGGAAGGGAGATGGGAGGGGGGTATTTATAGGGTGTGGGAAGGGTGGCTTAATGGTCGACGCGACGGACGGCGCACGGGGCTCGAGGACGACATGATGGTGCGCAGGGCTCGAGGGCGACATGATGGCGCACGGGGCTCGAGAGCGACGTGATGGCGCACGGCAGCGCGTGGCTCAAGGCGGCGATGGCGACACGCGGCGACGCGATGGCGCGGCAGCGGCGCACGGGGCATGAGGCACTGATGCGACGGCGACGGCGACGCGACTGGTACGGGGCTCGGCGCGGCGCAAGTGACGGTGACGGTGACACGAGCGGCGCGGGGCTCGGCTCGGCGCGGCGCAGCCAACGGCGACGGCGACAGCACGCGGCGGGTTGGAGACGGCGCGGCGACGGCGACGCGACATGACGCGGCGGCGCGGGGCGCGAGTTGACGCGCGACAGCGGCGCGGCAGGGCGACGGCAATGGCAACAAAACGGCACGCGGCGGCGGTGGCAGAGCGAGGCGACGGCGACGCGGCGCGGTGATGGCGACACGACAGCGACGGCGCCGGTGCGGGTGGGGCTCGAGGCCGGCTAGGACGGCGCAGTAGTGGGGAGAAAGAGAGCTGGGATGGCTAGAAACCAAATCGAACACCTAGGGGCTAAGGAACAGTGCTAGCCAACTATTTCTGATTTTAGAGGGTACTTTGCAATTAGGAACTTGGTGCAATATCGATCTACATATCGAATTAAATACTCCCATAATTCTATTATATATAGAGAGAGCCTAGTTTATTTGAATGATCATCATTTCATGTGTACTCATATTATGGCACCCACCTACATTATTCAAATATTTTAATATTTGATAAAATAGGTTAATAATAACTTTTTGTTTATTTGATTTTAATATCTTGTGCATAATTATTTGTAGGATTAAATATATTCTCGTAAATTATATCTATTACTTAAATGTATATTACATTTAAAATGTAGTTCTTTTCTTTACTTTTTTTTATCATTTATGGTTTGGCAAGTAATAGGAATCATAACAACCAGCATGATGCAAAAGTTTTAAAAAAATTTGAAATTTTAGTGATTTTTATTATCGGAAATTTTCAGGGTGTTACATGCCCGAAGCCCCGAAGTCCAAACCGAGAGTAGCTCGCGCGCTGCCGTGTCGACCGAGCTGGCGCCTCCAACAAGTCCACGGCACGGGGCGGGAGGGAACTGTATTCCGTGAGACAATGGCACGAGAGGCAGCTGCAGAATATGTCCCTGCATGCCTGGGGCTATGATATGAGCTGTGGCTGTCTCTGAGATCTCACTGGCCTGATGAAACTCTACATGGTGCAATGCATATGCTGATTTGCATTTGGCGAATAGCGGAATAGGGAATCGCGTGCGTAGTATATTAATCCGCCGATCACTTAACCTAAACTCCAAAAGGTGATCGTCGTGCGTACGTACGTACAGCGCTCCGGTCTGTTCGGTCAGCCCTCGCGAAGCTTCACGGAAACAAAGAAGGCCTCATGATCGGGAGATCAGAAGGGAGGAAAAAGGATAACGAGGAAACTGTTTCGCTTTGTCCTCACGCACACACGCCTCATGCGTCCGTGTTTATCGATCATGCCACTGCCCTGCTGATGAACAAGTTCTTCAAGCAAGTTACGGTGATATGCGCGCGCCCACTCTGCAAGGAGCAGGGAAGTATTGGCGGCACATGGAGCAGCGGAAGAAAGGCATTTCTTTGAACCGGATCGTTTCAGCTAATCTATCGCCCATCACCGCATCCGACGCATGGTTGGATGGAATGAAATGGAATTACATTTACACGTCCACGGCGTGGTTGAAACCGAAAAACTGGATCGCGTGTCACAAAACTCATAATGATTGGACTAACTGAATGTCGATTTCCTAGCGCAATGATTCATCAATAATGCCTGGAATTGGCTCCGAAAGTCTGAATATGAAAATGATGGCTGGATGGGACTCTATATACATATGTCGATAAAAAGATCTTCTAAAAATTTATCAGATGTAAATATATTATGATTGTAGTATAACTTATATAGTATTACTTATATGTAACTTTTAAAAATCCGAAGTGGTGGTCACAGGTCAAATTCCCTCACCCGTGCCTGCGTTTTTTTTATCCTTTCTGCTTGCACGAATCTCGAACAAAAATTAATTGTTAAATATTTTTGTGAAAATTATAAACAAGTTACACCAAAATTTACCATATTTACGTCAGACAAATATTTTCAAGAAAATTTATGGACATATTTATAGCAAAACCGGGCCGGATTAGCAAGCGCATGGAAAGAAAGGCTCTCAACGAAGAACCTCGCATGGAGGCCCAAAAGTGCATCATCGTCGGCCCGTCCGGCAAACGGCCCATATCTTGCTATGTCGGCCCAAAGAACCCTCGAAAGCTAGGGCTTTGCGGAGGGTTTAGCCGCGACCCCGTTCAGTCAACCGTCATTCCGTCTCTTGCTCTCAAGCGGCGTGCAACCATGGCGGCCACGGCCTCCTCCTTCCTCGCCCGCCGCCTCCTCCTCACCCGCCGCGTCCTTTCCTCCCCCCTCCGCCCCTTCTCCACCACTGACTCCTCCTCATCCTCCTCCTCCTCCTCTTCCTCCGACGACTCCCGTGCGGGATCTGATGCGGGACCCGACCCCGAGCAGCAGCAACCGCCACCAGCGGGCCAGGATCAGCAGGCCGCCGCCCGGCCGCGCGCCGGCGACACCCGTCCCCTCGAGAACGGCCTTGACCCCGGAATCTACAAGGTTGGAACTCCTTGATCCCCTCTGGGTTTTGATTCGGTGCGAGCTGACAGCCTGATTGGGGATTTTATTTTTTTGTGTGTGTGGGTGAGAATCGCGAAGGCGATAATGGTGGGGAAGGTGGGGCAGGAGCCGATACAGAAGCGGCTGAGGAGCGGGAGAACGGTCGTGCTGTTCTCGCTCGGCACCGGCGGCATCCGCAACAACCGCCGCCCGCTGGACCGCGAGGAGCCGCACCAGTACGCTGAACGATGCTCCGTGCAGTGGCACCGCGTCTGCATCTACCCGGAACGGCTCGGCAGCCTCGCGCTCAAGCACGTCAAGACCGGGTGAGCCCTCTGTTGCCTCTGCAGACGAGCTGTCACGTAAACGTAGTGAAGGGCCAATTCCTGATGTTTGAGCGTGACAACCTCTGATTTCGTATGTTGGATTAGATTCTTAACTACAATGGTTCAACTGCATAGCTCTGTTGCAATTGATTTGTTGGTGAGTAAAGCATCTGTTATGATTATACTTGATATGATTGGTACTTGGTTTCCTTGGGGTAGAATTTGGTATATTCCTTTAGCTCTGCATGAGTGGGGATTGGTAGATGCCTTTTTCTTTTGTGTCGATCTATTGACTTGAACTTACTCTACCTCTCATTTGTGATTACATCACTGTTCTACTGTATTACTCAATTAGTAAGAAGCTAAATATATTAGTCTATCTTTCGCAGTTGTCAATTTGCATATAAGTGACATGGTAATAATATTTTAAGGTTTTAGCTTTGTACAGTTCCTTTTTTTAATTCTTTGGTTGATTAACTCCACTAACACAAGTAAATTGTACCATTTCAACATTTCAGTTCTGTTCTTTATCTGGAAGGGAATCTTGAGACGAAAGTGTTTTCTGATCCTATAACTGGACTGGTTCGGCGCATAAGAGAAATAGCTGTGCGCTCAAATGGTATGTTTATTGCACCATTGATTTTGACTTGTGGCAAATATTTTCTTGAAAACATGTACTAGTGCGTTGCCCATACCTCATGTTCTTTTAACAAGTTCTGTCTAGTTCTCAAAAAGCAATGCTCATACCACTACAGTACGTTAAGTAGACTTTTCGCTGTTTCCTTTTATTTTTCACGTACAAACTACAAAGTAATGTCATGTTGCATATGAGCATTCAGCGATACTGTTCAATATTTCTATCGATGTTGTTTAGTCGGAGTATGATACTTTTTTTTTCCATACGAACAGGCCGTCTCTTGTTTCTTGGGAATGATTGTAATGCGCCCAAGTTAGGTGAAGCCAAGGGCGTTGGCTACTTCTGAAACTGAGGTCCACTCGACATCAAGGTATATCAGTTGATAAAATTGATTTAAATTAGAGGTATCTCAACTGTGCTTAGCTTTAAGCGTTCAACGTATGGTGAAGATCTCAGTAGTGGACCAGCTTTATGGAACAAATACAGTTGGACATCATTGTCGAAACCCTCTAATAATTGAACAACTGATTGTACTGTATAACTTGATTTTGACAAAACAACATATGTGGCTGTGCTATTTATTTTAGTTCTCCCAAAATTTCTTTTGACCTTTTGGGTCAGAGAAGTTTGTGAATTTGAGCTTTTCTACAATAAAATGGATCTGTTTACTCAATAGTTGTTCTATGATGCTTCCAGTCTAATCTGATAACCCCCTTAATACCTAATGCGGATGATAAAGCCTATCACTTTTTTTTTGGCATCTGACAGTAAACAAAAATATTTGAACAACTACGGGAGTTACCACATATCTTTCTGAAGTATGCTTTTTTCTTGTCTTATCTCACGTGTCCATCGTAAGAGCATCTCCAACAGTCTCTCTCACTCTCCAAATGTCTATTTGGCCAACTCTCCATCTAATTTGACAAGCCAAACTCGTTGTTTACTCCAACAGCCTCTCCATCTACCATCTCCATTACAAGTCTATGACAAATGGGACCCATACGTCAGCCTCTACTACCCTTCTTCCACTCTCTTTTCCCCACCCGGCCACCCCTTCTACCACCTCCAGTACTACTTACTGCCTCCTCCCCTCGCCTTTACCTTGGATGCGGCGACGACGGATGACGACGGCCACGGCAACTCGCGTGCGCGCAAGGCGCGGATGCGCGAGGCGACGGCGGACGGCGGCGGCGACTCGCGTGCGCGCAAGGCGCAGGTGCGCGAGGCGGTGGCGGCGGCGACTCGTGACCGAACCAGTTCCCGACGACGGCGACGACGCATGGCCACCAGGCGAACTGGACGACTCCGCTGGCGACCTCGGCGGCGAGGAAGAAGGCGAGGCTGTGCACGCCGAGGAAGTAGGCTGCGCCGCGCCGCCGGCGTGGCCCCGGAGGCGACCATGGCGGCACCGAGGAGGCGGCGGAGGTCGGCGCGGTCGGCGAGGTGGCCCACGGCAAACATGGCGGTGACGAGGAGGCGGCGGAGGTCGGCGCGGTCGGCGAGGTGGCCACCGGGCTCGCCGAGGCGGTGCGGGCCGGAGGCGGCCGCGCGACTGGAGGCGGCGGCGTGGGAAGCTGGCGCCGCGGCTTCCATTTGGAGGCGACGACGAAGAAGACAAGGAGGAGCGTGGTGGGACCCATGGATGGCCAGTGAATGGCAAGTGGAGTAGGCTGGCCAAGTTTGGCTAGTGAGGGAAGAAATTTGGCCATCCGGATGGCTTGGAGAGTGGGATGGAGAGGCTGTTGGAGTGGGATTTTTGTTCAAAATGGCTAAATTTTGGCTTGGAGAGTGGGATAGAGAAGCTGTTGGAGATGCTCTAAGATCTGTAGAGTTTGAGGGATAAACAAGTTATCAAACCTGCATGCTAACACCCCAAAACTTTACTTTCTCACCTGCTGAACACGCCTTTTCTGTCTCACCATCGCATATCCAGATATCATCTGCTTTGCACATCAGTTAAATGTAATATAAGCTCGAAGGGTATATATAGTTACTTTGTGAGCTAAAAGTTTTAGGGCAATGCAACTGATTCTGAAGATCAAACCGGACATTCTAAGATAGACAAAAAGCCCACCAGCCATTCTAAAAGATAAACAGAAGACGAACACATTATGCTTGTAACAGAACAATATTCTTATGTCTGTCTAATAAACAAAAGGTGAATACACTATGCTCGAAACAGCCAATTCTCACTGAAGATGAGCACATTATTCTTGTAACAGAGCAATCTTCTCAGACTTGCCTAATGTGACGTTTCCTCGGTGGAGAAGTTGGAGCGCTGGGCAAGAACATGTAGATACCAAAGGACAGGAGGAAAGCTGACATCGACCAATCCTTCTAGAATCTGGACAATCTCTCCCATCGTTGGTCTTGTGTTCTCATCATCTTGTATGCACCAGCAAGCCACCTTGCAAGCCCTCTCCACCTCTTCTAAGTTAGCATCTGCACTTAGTTCTGAACCTAGCAAGTCTTGAATCTTCCCTTCAGGGAGTCTCATCGCCACTAGCACTGGGAAGAATGTCCCTGCACCTTGCTCACCTTGCCGATGCCAATCTGCATTTCTGTTTCCTGATATGATCTCGAAAAGCATCATCCCATAGCTGAAAACATCTGCCTTTGTGGTGATAGCTGTGCCGCTTATCCATTCTGGGGCAAGATACCCTATAGTGCCTCTCATGGTTGTCAAAACTCTGCTGAAATCCCTTCCGAGGAGCTTGGCAAGTCCAAAATCCGCGATCTTTGGCATGAAATCAGCACCTAGGAGTACATTCTCTGGCTTTATATCACAGTGTATGATGAGGCTCCTGCATTTCTCATGCAAGTAAGCTAATCCCTTGGCAATTCCAAGAGCAATCTGATATCTTGTCTTCCAGCTCAAAGTCAATGGAGTGCTTCCAAATAGGTAACGATCCAACGACCCATTTGGCATGAACTCATAGACTAGCATCTTCATGGACCTCTCTGAGCAAAATCCCAGCAACCGGATTAAATTCACATGCTGAATTGTGCCAATTGTGCTGACTTCAGCTCGGAACTGCTTTTCTCCCTGAGAAACACCATCAAGTTTCTTTACAGCAATTAGTGTCCCATCAGGTAACGTTCCCTTAAATACAGGACCAAAAGAACCTTTGCCCAACCTCTCAGAGAAGTTTTTTGTCACATGCTGTAGGAACCTATACCTGAATACGACCAACGAACCCTCCACTTTGTTCGCTTCACTCAAATTCCTCTTCCTGAGAATCAGAAGTATGCCAATGATCACAATGAGGGTGACAAGGATAGCTCCAGCAGTTGAAGCCCCAATAACAGTTGCCTTCCTCGTTAGCTGGAGAACTCTGATGCAGCGAGCCGGATATGGATGCTATGCCCCACTGAACCATCAGCAGGAGCCACTAGATTGATTAAATCTCCATACCACAAAGAACAACCACCAGCGTAGGAATAAGCGGTACAAGAGCAATTGTTCAGACAAGCCTGCTTACATCCATCTGTACCAGTTGCCAAACCCCAGGCTTTGTCAGGCAACTTAGCAACAGCTAGTGCATAGAATTCATCAGCTGTTGTCTTGCTAGAGCTATTGCCATCATATTGTAGCTTAGTGTTTCTCATGCAACCTCCACTGGGATTACCATATCGCCACTCGCCGTTGTACTGCTTGCTGAAACCCCTGAGACAACTGCAGAAAGTGACGGCGTTCTCAGTGCACATGGCAAAAGAACCACAAAGGAAGTACACGGCGCACTGTGCTTTTGGCAGTGCCAAGAAGGGCACCCAGTCTTTTTTGCTCTCCATCCATACTACTGTTTTTACCTGGCCTGAAATTTCCATAATAAACATCGCTGTGGCAATGGATGCATTAGTTCGGTACACAAAGTAGCTCTCTTGGTTGTTAACGGTAAATTTGTAGCTTAAAACTTCTTTAGGATACAATGCCATCTCAGGAATTCCAGTAAACATATTACCAATCCATTTGCCCGTTTCCCAGTAGATGGCAGAATTGTTCCATAGATGGATGAACTGGTCGCCACCATTCGGGTCAATCTCAAGCGTATAATACCCAGGTGATGGATCAACAGAGCTTTTCCATGAGATAAATCTTGTGATTTGGCCAGTAATTTTGTTCCGTCCAAGCTTGGCCCCAGGGAGCCACACATTGGTCGGTTCATCAAAACTCTGCCATAGGAAATTGGAGGTATTGGAGGCAGGAGCTAACACTAAGTTGCCTGAATCAAGGATAACTCCAACTGTGGAGTTGACGTTATTAGTGATATTTGTGGCCCAGATCAAAGACCTGGCCTGGTCGAACAATGCCAAATTGCCATCTTCTGATGCTGTCAACTGTGATAAGTTTGGATCAGAGATTGGAGTCGCCCGATTTGCTATCCAGACGGGTGTGGTCTTTGAGATCTTGTTGTACCAAATAGCAAGGTACCATCTGTTAGGCGCTCTATCATCTGAATTGTTAACCACTGAGATTATAATAGTTTTCAAGAATGCACTAGACAAAGACTTCTAGAGCTTAGAGACTAGTATGTGTATCTAGAAAGAAATAACGAAGATAGGTCTTGCTTCACATCTTCAACAAATGCTAACTGCTGCATGATTCATTTGTTGTACATGGAAATATCTTCTTCTACAAATTATAATATTTTCTCTCTTATATTTCCATCTTTCATATAAGTTAAAATTTAAAGCTTGTGGGAAAGTAACAAAAAGAAGGAAAAGAATTATGCCATGAAACGAGCATATTTCGGAAGCCTTCCTTGTGGATTTCAAGAACTCACCTATTTCTTTCTCACAAAAATATGCCTACTAGGGCACTAGCCAGATATTCACCTCCAACCTGAAAGTATCAAGTAAAATAAAAGGAAACATGTGGCGTGGCTTGTAGTTTCTTTTTTTCCCCTAATTATAGCCCCCCAAGGCTATAGTTTTATACTATTCTTTTTCTATTATATCAATATAAAATATTTCCTTCATCCCATAATATAAGGGATTTTGAAGGGATGTAATACAACATAGTACTACAAATCTAGACATAGGGTTTTGAAGGGATGTAACACAATATCGTAATACTAGATAGTGTCACATCCCTCCAAAATCATTTATATTTTGGGACGGAGGGAGTATTGTACTATCTTGGGGTGCAATAAGCTTTGCACATAACATGTTCAAAACATCAATTTGGTTTGTAATTACTATTGCAATACAAGGATGGCACACTGTAAAACTATAAAATTGCCATGAACAGTACTTTTGAAAAAAAAAACATATTAATCGTGTTAAGTCTGTAAAACATTATACAAGATATATGCTAACGACAGAATGGAATATCATCCTTACGATATCCCATCTTGTATCCCCTATAAAACATTACCCCATGAAATCTTGTACGGAACTTGCATAAAACATTTTTTCGATAGTAGAAGTCAATCTAGCCTCTACATCCAGGATATATAGGCATATAGCCAAAACATGCATAGAAATTGATTGAACTATTTAAATTAAGACTCACTGAAACATGCATACGCCTAACAAAACTATATGTACCTCGTTTTATTTTTTGTTTTGGTTTTTGATCAAACCATATTGTCCTTACTGCAATTATACATATAAAATTTAGGTATTTCCGGGGAAAAAAGGTTTCTTGAAGGACTGGAAGAAGCATAGAACTATGACGAAACATGCAGAAATGTGGGTGAAAGCTTTCTGAAACCTTTTGTACTTAATGAAACCCGATGAGAATTGGAATATAAAGCAGAGGCAAGATAAACTAATAGCTGAAGTTTACAATATGTCTCTAATCTCTATATCACTTGTTACTTGCTACAGTAGTTGCTATAAAAAATACAAACGAAATAGGCTGAAGTTTTTGAAGTGGATGATAGGGCTGAATTATTAGCTCATGTATATCCACGTACCAGGCTGGAAGAACCCCAGCGCGAAAAGTCCGCCGGACGAGATAAGCCTTTGGCCGCCGGAGAGCGGCCGATTCCGGGAGACGGTGTCGTCTGCCCGCGCGCATATCAGCAGAAGAAAACACGGAAATATCAACGCGCCCAAGGAGGCCTCCATTAGTGATTGGCTTCTTTTGCTGGGAGGAAAGCAATTATATAGTTCAGCCTTGACTGGTGCTACTGTGCCAGAATAGTAAAAGGCGAGACTACGGTGGTGTTTGGAATGGATAGATGGCACATCGGACGTTACGACACTAATTAAAAGTGTTAAACAGAGATTAATGATAAAAACCATTTCATAACTCTAGACTAATTCACGAGGATTAGTCTATGTGATGCTACAGTAAACATGTGCTAATTATAGATTAATTAGGCTTAAAAAATTTCTCACGAATTAGCTCTCATTTATACAATTAGTTTTATTAGTCTATATTTAATACTCTAATTAGCGCATATGACAAGGACTAAAATTAGTCTCCTCATATCCGAACACCACCTACAAAAGAGTATTCCCTGTTTGGTTGCTCGTGTAGTTATTGACTTTGAGGTTTTTTTTAAGATACCCTAGATATATATATAGGCCGTCCATTTAGTTTGATCCAACGCGTCAGAATTCGTCATACGCGGACTTCCGTTGCTCATAATCCACGCACTTCTTGGCTTAATTATCTCTTGATTATTGTTTCATATTTGGAGAGAAGATATCCAAATTATTGCACCGGCAGATAGCTATGAACAGCATCTTCGTTTTTTTTTTTCTTTTCCTTCTTCTCTATTCGATTGAACAGGATTTTGCAAAAGCACGTACAATCTATGATCAGTAATTAATCCTCAAATTAAACAAGAAGGTTGCATGCATGCCTGTTCATTCTTTCATGCTTGCATGCAAACCCGGGCTCTAATAAGGACTTTTTATGCTGCAAGCTAGGTTTTT